ACAACACTTGCGTTTATGAGAGTAGAGTCCTTCATTCTTCCTTTTTTTTTTTGGAACGGACATGTTTCTGGGGATGTGTACATTTCTTTCAATAGACGTAAATCAGAACAAATGGTTTACTCAGCTTATAAAACAACTCCCCCTCCACTATTTTAAGTTTCCAACACTGCTGAAGTATAAAAATCATGCACTTAAAAATAATTTCTCACCAATTGCAAATTTAAAGTAGAGCACGCATCTGAGTGAACAGCACCCACGCTGTGCAGGCACTGCCTGGCCACTCAGGACAGACAGCTGTGCCTACACCCACAGAGACTTTTTCCAGAAAATTCAGCAGGCACAAAACCAAGGGCAGTGGCTGGCACTGAAATATCAAGCATAGGATCTTTGAGATGGATTGACAGGTCATCATGCACAGCTTGCACGGGAACATTTCTCATTCTCAGAGGAGACAAGAACACACACAACAATAAAAATGAGGTTGTTCTCTTACCTTGGTGAAAGCAGTCAAAAGCTATACTGTTGGTGGGAGAGTGTACCAAGTCACAGACTTCTGTACACTCTTTCTTACTGGTGGTATACAGTCTACAGGAAAAGTAAATATACAGCACTGTGAAATACAGGTGCACACAGCAGGACCTCCTGCCAGTATTATTCTTGCTTGCCTTTCGCGAGAGAGGCTGCGGTAGAGCCCTTGGACATGATGCCCCTGCTTGAATAGGGTTAGGGCTCTTTGTAGCCCCGTCCACCACAATTCAGGTACCTCTGAACATGGGAGTGCTGGGGGTCCTTGGACAGGCATGGTTTCCCAGTTTTTATCTGTCCTGTTAAGGAGTTAATTTCTTCCTGCTTCCACCCCTTGTCTGTCAGCCTAGTCCGGTCTTGCTGGCTAGTCTGCGTGGTGGGGAGTTCAGAAAAGTGAAACAAGTAGCAGCATGTGGAGAATGTTAGGGATCCAAACAGATGAAGAAGCAAAACGAAACACAGCCGTAACACACGTGCACAGCCTGGGAGTGTTTTCCAGAATGTTCTAAGCATCATTTGCTGAGGAGGTTTTAGTGCCCACATCCATTTTCCAGCAGTGTAATTTTCTTTTGTTGTGTTTTCTTGTTTTACTTTTTAATCAAACACCTGCTTATTTCGACAGCTCTATTTTATGTAATAATCCCTTTCTTTGAGAATAGCCCAGTTTTCACTTATGTATTTTCTGTGTCAATAATGATAAAGGAAAGACGTTAGAATACAAGCTTAAATTGAAAAATAACTTACCCTATAATTTAGCTGCAAACTGTTGCTCCTTAAATAGATATTTGACCATTCAAGATGTTCACGGGCTTGAACCGGCCTGTTATGTATAGACTGTCTTCCAGGTTCCTAGTTGTCACGTGCTAGAAAGGACTGCGTCGGTTGTTGTCACACCCCCGCTTGTCTCTGGTGCTACCTATAATGCACAGTGCTCCGCCTGTGCCTGGCCAGGCATTTGGGGAGCAGTGGCTTAGAAAATGGATGGTATCTTTAGATAAGGGCGGTGTGGAGCCCCGTGCAGCTAGATGTCATCGTTCTTTACCAAGGAAAGCATGTGACAAGAGATTTCAAAGAAGTCTTCTGGGCATGATTAAGTCCAAATGAAGAAGGCAGCAGTCCTTTCCCACTGATGCCAACAAAGCCATGCCACCCCTGCTTGTCCATTGGCCCTGATAGGCATCACAGTGGCCAGCTGGCAGCCACAGCACAGCCACCCCTGCTCTCATCGCACCTCCACACATTGGCATGAGCTTCTGTCTGAAGATCCACAGAACATAAAGGCTCATGCCTGGTTCAAGATGCAAGGGGAGGGTCGGGGTCCCAGGTACCCTTCACCTCAGAAGAGCACTTCTACTTCCTTCTACTTCCCTTGCTGCTCGAGGGAAGCTGGTGTGTTCTGAGCCTCTCACGGCAGCAGTCTCACTTTTACATGTAGCTGAACTACATGCCTGTGCCCACTGGGCTTGTTGCTTTTCGATCTGAATGCAGCAGGCATCGATCCAACCCTGAATATATCTTATATTGGAAGTCATAGACACTTGAAAATTTTACATTGATGTATATTTCACACAGAATGGAGTGTTTCTCCTTCACAGAGCAGTATTTTAATGGAAGAAGCAACCTAGAGGACAATCGAACTCATTGAGGGGAAGTCAGGCAGTGCTGGGGTGGGACCAGCATGTGCCCACGTGAAGCCAACAAACAATTTCCATTCCATGTAGACACGCAGTTGCATGAGCAGAAGCACAGGTGCACCAGATGGCCAGGTGTAGTGATGGAGCAGAGGTTCACAATGGAAACACGGGAGCGGAGGCACACGGAGGCCGAGAGCGGAGAGCGACGGCGAGCGAGCGCATCTCTGCACTTTGTTTCCCTGTGGCTGTGGCTATCGTCTGGATTTCTCAGACTCCTATTTGACAGAGTCCCTGGGCAAATTCATGGTGTGTGTGTTCCTGCTTATAACAGATGGCTCAAAGTCAGCCATTCGTTATCAATGTTCAAAATGTTAGGGAGACTTTGAGCTCCGTTTGGTTTTAAACCAAACACGACTGCATTTTTTAACATCAGACTGCTTCTGTCTATCTCCCTCCATGGTTTTTCACCAGTGGTTTTTTCCTATGCACTTGGCTATGTTGATGGAGACTGGTTTCCTAAATATAATTGGTATTCTTCATGTTGCTTCTCACATTTGAGTAGCTCTGGGAAGATCTTAAATGATTATCTGTTGGCATTTCTGCCTCATCTCATTGGTCTGCTTTCTCAGCTCAACTTCTTTCCAGACCCATGTTAGTGGCAAATCTGTAGCAGCTATGTCCACTGCACACTCAGATGGAATACGCTAGAAAGAAATCCTTGCCAGCCAAGACACACCACGTTGCAGAGCTGCGCATGCAGGCTGCCCACTGCCACAGGCAGCTGGGTAAAAACTAGTTGCCACGCAGTTAAGTTACCGTTAGCTAAAACCAGCTTGGGCTAGATGCTGCTCTTGGACACACTGTGTCACAGGCACAGGAAGCCACAGTTTTGTCAGTCTTCTTGGGGACCCGTGAGCACCGAGTCAGCAGAAACCCCAATGTTTGGAGGTACGTGAATCTTCCATGTTTCAGCAAATACGTTGCCAAAGGCAATGTGACATTTTAAAGGGTGTCTACTTCAAACCACGTGATCTCGAACGACTTCGAAAGTACAGTCTGGTTGTAAGACAAACAGCTATATTTGATTTTTCTCTCCTCTTTTTTTTTTTTCTGAAATGTTTTTCATGGCTCTACATAAACATCAGAATAAGAGCAGTACAATCCCACCAAAACGTTTTCAAAGCAAAATACCAGATGAGTCCCAAATGCAGTCATGGTTGTGACTGAACTAGCACGATATTTAATTCTTGCCTTAGTAAGACAAGGCCTCTACCTGGGCAGCCTTCTTTGAGCTCAGCCTACTCTCACTGTTGTAGGCAACACAATCAGCAATATTACATGTCATAGCACATTGAACTAAAGCACTCACAAAACACCACTGCATTCTGTACAGGAAGGAGGCTGGCATGCTGCTCCTGCTTCAGGAATCACAAAGAGGAGCTAGCATGGGCTCAGGGATCAGATCTGGGTGTGGTCCAAGTGTTGCTGCTAACTGTGGTGGTGCCACGTGATCTTGCTGAGACTAGACTGCCTCAAGAAGAGGAGCATAAGGCAGTCTGCTCTACGCATGTACTAAGCATGATCTTTTGTAGCAAGCATTCTACTGCTCAATGCCAACACCAAAGGGTGACAGGTACAACTCTTAGTAGTGACATTTAAGCAAACGATACAGTCATTAAACCTGATCATTAAAAGTTAATAACAGAAGTGTTTGAAAGGAATAATTCTTGAGTAATAGAGTGTTTAATCAGTTGTCCACATTCAAACTCCCAGATGTGTTCATTTTTGAAGATGTGCATACTTCCAACAATCATTTATGTTCATTAATTTTGGGAAGCATCTTGTTAAATTGGTGCTGTGTATGCTTGTTGTGTGTGTGTGTACAGTTACTACCTAAAATACAAATGTGATAACATGTCTAAAGATAAAAGGTGATGGAAGAATAAATGCAGATATATTTTCGAATACATGGATAGGGAGATGATGGATACCTTCATGAAATACCTCTTTTTGGGTACAGGTGTGTCTACCTGTTGTGTATAGTGCATTGTTAACTAAAACATCTGTTCAACCAGTCATCCTTCAGGATGTGTGCATAACACATCTGGGTCACTTTCGGGCCTGATGATAGACCGTAGGGTTGTTGCATACGTACCACGGAGTTTCTCTCCTCTACACGTCCGTCCTTATCTCACCCCTAAGGCTTTGCCTTTCACAGAAGCAAATTCTGCTTCCATGGTGTTGGGGGGTGGATAGTTTTCCTGCATGGTGACACTGTTAGCGTGATGATGTCTGGGATATGTACTTATATTGAAGTTTGACTTCAGTGCTTTGTGTCTTTGTTTTTAGAAGGTATGCTTGCTTAGTAAAGGTATGCTTGCTTGCACATTGGTGTAGACTATGTGTAGTAAAGCATCTACACGTTGGTGTGCTGCTGGAAAGAAGCAGTGTTTGTTAAGGTGTTAAAGCTTCCCTCCTGTTGTTAGTAGGCTGGATGGTTCTCTTACAGGGAGTCATTTCCCTCGTAGGAAGGACACAAGGGAAGGGATTGTACAACCTGGCAGGTGTGTGTCAGCTAGAGGGCTTGGCAGTGATGCACAAGAAGCCAAGTGAAAAAGAGGCTTCACACTGTTAAACTCTCCTATAGTTTCTTTCCAACGAAGAGCAGTAAGAAAACCAGGGCAAGAATGACTTAAACTCCAGGGAGCAGAAATCAGCACCAAGGTGACCGAGTGTGGGAGACCAGAGTGCTGACATGTTTACTGCCCAGGAAGGCAAGGACAATCTCGTTTCCTGGAGCACTGTGATGCAGAATGGGAATACGAAAGGCTGTTTACTTACTGTTTGGGTCTACATTTTCGCAGAGTTCTGTCTTGGCCTCCCCGTTGGGTCTGTCACTGGGTTTGTGTGACAGCCGCGATGACATGGTGGCCGCCGTGACTACTGCCTTGAAGCTTCGCTTCCGTTTCTGGACATTGAGTTCAGGATGGAAAATGATGATGTACACTTTGGGCATGTACAGCATCCCGAGCGCCACCGACGCACTGAGGTTCATGGAGATTGTAAGCGTGGTGGTTTGTATGTAGAGCTAGGAGACACAACACACAAGGCACTATCAAAAATAAAATGACCGCAGAGAGAGTCTGGACACTTACAGCGACAACAATACTCACTAGCAGAGGAAACAGCAATGCTTGGGGACTTTGTGACCGAAAAGAAAGGCAAATCAACTCTGGGCATTTACTACGGAGTTGGTGCCTGTCTCAATTCAATGTCATTAGGTAAATCCGTTTTCATCCTTGCCCTGGAGAAGTCTCCTATTTGGAAGTTCAGCTCTGGTCATTAATCAGATTTAAAGTGCTTTTAATCATAATGACAACTGACCATGAAGATCTTAGAAACTCATCATTGTGCATAAGATACCAGGTTTTAAATTCCAGACATATACATAAAAGGGTTAATGTTCTATGGGTTTTTATAGCACAGGGATTCTGCAACTTTTATTTTGAAAAGTCTTCATGCTACTCTCTATATATTCCACTTTACATTTTTTTAAGCGCTTCTTTTCCATACCTACCAAGTAGTGAATTCCATTTTCCTGAGGAAGAAGTCCTTCCAAAGTAATTTAGTTTTTTTTTTTTTTCTCACAAAACATACTTGACAAGAAACCAGGAACTGAGGGTGTTGGCATTTGTCCTCTCATTACAGTGACAAATTGCTAACAGGAGCACAGCGTTGTTTTATGGCATCAAAGATAGTTTGCAAGGCACCCTTAAGAGCTGTCCTGGTCTCCTTGGCATCGGTAGAGAACAGTAGGTCAACCATTGGCTGCTATCCAGTGTGTTAAATCATGACTTGGCCATAAATATAGAGGTGGACTTGGAAGGGAGTGAGTGGTTGTTTCTGCTTGCCGCCTTAGAACTCCCCATAAGAGGAAAGCTACAAACAAGTTGAAGCCCACAGCTCTGCCTTCTTACTTCCCTGATGATGGAGTCTTCCAAGGCTCCATGGTTTGTGCTTTCCTAGTGTTCCTGACTCTCCTGCCACTGTGTTCTTCCTTCCTGACCCTTGGACACGCCATCCTGCCTCATGAGGGCTCCATCCATATTCCCTGTCTTGCAATCTTGACTTTTTGAACCACAGAACCAGGACATGGACTGTTATTCTTTATTCTTCCCCTGTATGCAATGTTTCATCTTTGCCAAAGCTATCCTTGTCCACAGCCTGAAGCCTAGGCTTGTTTATTTGCTATCCACTCACCTAATTATTCTTTCAGCTCATCGGTCTGTTTGTACTGCCATGCTTCCTATCTGGTCATGTGACTCTCTGTTTGTCTCATATGAGGTGCTCAGCTCCTGGAAGGCAGAGCCTGCCTGTGGGGGTGAATTTCTGCAGTGCAGGCCAGTTGCAGCCACCTGATACACATGTGACAGGTGTACTCATGTGCTGCTATCATGGATGCCTTTGTTCCACCTGTGACTCTATGCAAACATGTCCAATCAGACCTGTCGCCTTCTTAGGTATTTCTGATATTTATCCTTCAATCCAAGGCCTCAGTGAAATCCAAATCAAATCTGCCATAGTGTCTGGCTGAGAACTGGGCCAAGCAGGCCTTAATGGCACCTTGAGTTGAGGTGAGAGGCGTTTCATAATTCTCCTGGCATCCTCAAGTCTGAGTAATAAAAATGGAGAATCTGCCTCTTGACAAGGTTAAGGGGAAGGGTGTGTTACCTCCTGACAGATGTTTGCCATGGTGATCTTGCTCTGTGCCTATAGGCTCTTACACAGTCCCCGCCCCTGCCGCCACCAGTCCCTGCAATTCCCCTGCAATTGCAAAGCAGGGGTTGGATGAATCCATGAAGCCCGCACTGCCCTTTGTGCTCTTCCATACCTCTTGGTTTGAGAGCCAAAGGCAGGGGCCAGAAAGATGAGATGTCAGCCTTGCAATGACTTAACATAAAAAGGCAGATTCCACAGGCTCCCTGAGAGTCCTCAGCCATACTCAGCCATGCTGCCCAAGACTGAGCCCAGGGGCCTTGGTCAGACAGTGTCATAGCACTGCCTTGTACCTCTCTGAGCAAAGTGCTGAGGGACAGGAGATGCTGTGATGTGTTTGCAAGCCAGTCAGTGCACGCAGCAAAGCAAAAGCCTGAGCTTAGAGTATTCCACCTGGAAAGATGCTGTGGCAGATTATGGCAAGACTGCAGCTGTCCCAAAAATGGTTAAATAAAAATTAAAATGTTCTTGGAATTTCTTGGGAGCATATCCACTGTGTGTTTTGTTTCTTAATTGGGCTAGCATGCTGATTGACAAGACAAGCCCCAAGACTGTCACCTGTCACTGAGAAGAAGACAATGTAAGGTTCTCCCAGAAAACAAAACAAAACAAAGCAAAAGTTCCCACTTTTCTGCGGTCTGAAGCCAGCTGTTGTGCATCTCAGGAACTCGGGCAGTTCTGACCGGCTCCGTCATCCTGCCTGTCTCTGTTTCCTCTTGGCCCTGACTGAATTTTCGCAAACTATCCTGTTTCAAGGTGGCACAACTCCCCTGCTGCCCTTTAAATTCTTCTTTGCACCTTGTGCTAGCTCCCACCTGGCCAGGACGCGTCTTTGCTTCCCTGTCTTTCCACTGCCCCATGTGGCCGTGATAGTGATAGTGATTGGACACAGGGCGCTGCCTCTGGCCCGCGTGGCCCACTGTGACACCATCAGTCACCCAGCTGCTGACAGCTGGTCCAGATGAGTTGCCCATCCCCAACACAGGCCAGAGGTCTGGAGTGGGGTTCCTCTTCTGAATGCCCTTGACTTCTCTAAATCCTTCCAATGGGCATGTCCAGTCCATTCTCAAGGCCTTCGCACTTAACACCCCTCCTGCCTTTAATGTCTTGAGTTGCCCACCCTTCCTCATCATTCTAGTCTAAAATCCATTCATAGGAGTTTTCTGTGACTCTTAGGTGTAAGTTGTGTCCATTTTTTTATGAATTCTTTTCATCTTATTAATCACAATATGACTGTTCATTGTGCATTTCTTTCATAAATGTTCCTGCTGGGTCCCTGTCACACACATGGGTCACCTGCATTGAGCTCCAGGCTCCTGGCTTTGGCCTGGTCTGCGCTGGCTGTTCTTTGGATGTTTGGGCAGTAACTTGGGGGATGGGAGAGCTATTTGTCCGTATCTGTCTGTCTGTAAGAATTAAAAAGAAAAAAAAAGCAACAGTTGTGCCCACGTACTGAACACTGACTAAAGGACAGGCGGGCAGACCCCTGCATTGTTCTCATTCTCTTTGCTTACAACGCAGTGATGTGGTTACAGAGTACGAGGGAGGGGAAGCCATGCGATGGGTCCCTTTGTTTCTAAGTTTTCCGTGTGTCCAGCATTGTTGTGTAGGGTACAGATATGATTCCTTCCACACAGACGGACAGCTGTATCTGTAAGTGTTCCCGTGTGTCCAGCATTGCTGTGGAGGGCATGGAGGAACAGATTTCTCTGCGGGTAAGAACGGTGTCTCCAATTAGAAGCCATATGATGCTTTGGGAAAGTGCAAGTTCACTGGTTTCTCTTTGCAGTTATGAAATCTGTGTGCAGCAGCTACGGTATTGAGCTGACTTAGATGAAGTAAGTACAGGGAGGAATCAGACTCCCGGACCCCGACTCACGGGCCCCACCCCATTCCACTGAGGAGCCCACGTACAGAACTAGCACGTACTTGGGACGACCCAGCGCTAGGCCAGCATCAGGAATTAGGATTCAATATGCGACCCTGATGCAAAGAGGGTGTTTAAGATGTAAAAGAGTTGGTGGCTTTCATTTGTGTTTCTGCAAACGACTGTTTGTGTCTAAACATCCTCTACTGCTTCTCACTGCAGTCACGTGGAAGGACAGGGCAATGTGCTTCCTTTCATCCTGAAGCTAAGAGCTGAGGATTGCTGTTTAACTTTTATTTCTAAGTGACATATAAAAATCGTACACTTCTATGGGATACCATGTTGTATTCTATGCATCCAACCCATGTAACATCTAATCGGGGTAAACATGTATCAAGCTTGTTTTCATTTGTGCAAAGGAAACAAATTTGCTGTATTTGTTATGTACTGACTTAAGGGCATATGTGGAAACTCTTAAAATTTATATTTTTTTAAAAGAAAGTGCAGTGCTAATTTCTATAGTTCTCCTACTGTATAATACAGCACAAGAACTACTTGTTCCTGTCCAGCTGGTAGCATTCATTTGTTAATAAGACTTTTCTGTCCCATCGAGCCCTCTAATCTTTCCAGACTCTGTGAACCAACATGACATTCTTAAGCTCTGTGAGATGTGTTTTATTTTGAGATTTTGTATGAATAATACCATGGGGAGCTAGTCTTGTCTTTTTCTCTTTTTTTATGATTGACTGATTGAATTTGAAAGGCAGAAGGAGAGAAAGAATAAGAAAGGGAAATATTTTCCATTTGCTGGTGTGCTATCCGATGCTCCCAGCAGCCAGTGCTGGAGCAGGGCACATCCAGGTGCCTGGGCCCCTGCCTGGCTCTTCAAAGTGGGTGGTGGAAGGCTGATCCTGACCGGGTCCTAGGATCCACCTGAGCAGGACACTGGCCTGGAGGCTGCGACAGAACCCTAGACACTCAGAAATGGGATGCAAGTGCTGCAGGCAGGGTGGCCTCAGGCAGCACGACGCTCGCTCTTATTATTTTTTTTAATTTTTTTAATTGTTATCTAATGCATTTCAACTGGTGTGAGGACCTCCCACTTTTGAGGTGTGTTGTTGCAAATTATGAGACTTTTGTGGAAGAACAGTACTTAACTACGTCATTTTATTTAAAAAAAGAAAAAAATCAAAGCACGGACAGTTAGGCTGTTTGCATTGGCTGCCTGTTGTGTGTAGTACTGCAACAAGCATGTGAGGATGGGTGTTTAAGTTTTATTTCCCTTGGAAATTTGACAGAATATATATTTTCAAATATATATTATTTCCAATATATAATACTCTACATACATAGCAGAGGGATTGTTGAATCATAGGATACTTTTAGATATGTTCACAGAAATTTTTGTTTACATGCTATTCAAATAAATAAACCAACAAAGGATT